CATCAACGACATCGTCGTGCTGGGGCGGAGAGGAGGGGAATGACAGCTGTGGGGGAGGAAGAAGCAAACATTCTTACAGAGTTCGACCGAATCGCTCTCACCTCCCAGGTTAATCCTCCTCCACTTGAATGTGTTATTAAGTGTACTTAGTGTGAATATTCATAGTCATGTCCTCGTGAAGAATGCCTCCCATTCGACTGGTTACCAAGGTGGCGCGAGAGCACCTAATTCACTGGGTGTGAAGCGGTAATGTAGTCATTCAGTCACGGAATAAACACCATTGCGCAGTGTCCAATAGGAGGACAATGTATTAAGCGATATTTACTCTCCTTTAAAACCGTCTTTCGCGTAGCTTTTCACAATATTTCGAGTACGGATGGGCGTGAAATAATGAAAAAGCAAGGGAAACTAACGCGCTCCTTGATCTTTGTAGTATGGGATTGTGTGTCGGAATTTGATGTTTTGGTTTGTAAAAAGCACTTTTTTACACAAAAAGCGAAATGTATTTGAAAGTTTAAATGAGAATGTTACGGGCTGCCATCAGAAACTTTGCAGAAACACAAAGATTAGGCGACTTATTTACAACTCGGCCAATGCTTTCACAAAAAGTGTTGAATGTGCAGTTTAGAACAAATGGTAGAAAAATTTGCCTTTAAGTGTAGAACCGGCAGTCGTATGCGGTAGAATAATTAAAATAGGAATATTTTTTTATAATCATCTATCAAACCTCTTAAATAGTACTTTCAAATCGAGGACAGGACTGTTTTTATACCATCTACTGGTAAACCTGCCTTTTTCTGATAAAGCGTTTGTGTCGAATGTCTTGATAAGAGCGAGTATGGCTCTTGCATTTGGTGATCGCGGAATATAGTTAGTGCTTTCATCATTGGAATTTTTATTGAATTGCTTTTATCTTAGACACTCATTGAGATGCATTGAAAAGAATAAGCGGCCTAAATTATTGGTATATCTGGTGCGTGTGACCACACGCTACGAAATCGGTAGTATTTAGTCGGACCTGCACAATGCTTAAACTATTTTAGGAAATGCCTTTGCCTAGAGCAAGGCATTCTTGATCAAAATCCCATTGCGAGAATTCAATTTCCTCCTTTTATAAAAAGTGATCTCTTTTGCTCCGCTTAAGTGCTCGAAATCAGCCTCTTATTTTACTTTTGAATACACCGGCATCACTAACTAGACCTTATCATACGTCCATTCTTCGTTCACAGCAATCGGTAGTGGGTGCACATCCACTCATTCGTTCCAAAAAAAAGCTCGCATCGATGCCTCGAGCCCTCAACGCCGACGATGATGATGACGATGACACCGTCTCAACGGCCTCCTGGTCAACGGTGGCGTCGAGCACAACGGTTGGCGGAGCCAGCCTTCTTTCTGGTGTCACGACCTCTTCTGCCGTGGGCAAGAAGCCCTGGCGACAACTCTCCGCTGTCAAAAAGATCGGCGAGGTGGAGATGGGGAAAGTGGGAGCAATGGGTGTGGGGCGCAATCGTAAGAAGAAGGAGAAGCTACGACGCGTCTACGCCAACCTCGATCGGCACGAGGTGGAGTGATAAGGGATGTGGAAGGCTTCGAAACCCTCCCTTTTACCCCTTGATCTGACTGCTCGTGCTTATGTGAAATTGGGACGTGTAAATAGAACTGTGACCCGTATTCTCTTCTTGAGTGCCTGTGCATAGACAGTAGGATTGCATTATTGTTTAAAAAGAAACGTAGTAGTCTGTAGTTGAAGTGATGCTCTGACTTTCACTGGTTCTCAGTTCTTTGTTATATTGAAGTAAATTCAGCTTGGCTTTTTTTTCATTTAAATACCCAAATGACGCTTTGTTTTTCCCTCCTCTTCTATCGTTGTTAGCGTCCATTTCTTTGAAGTAGGGAGATGAGCCATAATTTCAGAAATTAGCTCACAAATGAGCACTCCTCGTGTCGATATCTCATGTTGTTCTTGTTATTTGCTATGAAAAGGTGGTGACTTGGGGACTTTTAACTGACTATCCATTGTTTTTCATAACAATATGCAAGCCTCGGTTGCTTTACACTTGCCGATGGGTGTAAAAACGCAGACCGCAGTTCATTTTGCTCTAGTAGGTATCCAAGTTGCTACAGCTCATAAGTACTAACAAATGACCCAGTGGTTAACGTGAACTTGGTGGTATAGTCGTTCATTCCACGGTCTGAGGCACCAAAATGTGTACATTTTTATGCTGTTGTTTAATTAGCATGATATTCGTGCGGCTGTATGGGTTTGTGTTTTTCTTTAAACCATAAACTATTCAATTTTCGCAAAACCATCAAACTGAGGTAAGTTTATTGTTGCTGAAAGATACTTAGCCGGCCTGTTCTGTAAAGTACAGTATATTTTCAAGTTAGGTTGATATGTGATCCTTTTGAAGATAGTTTATTAATAAGAATCCTTTACGAGCCAGTTGCTTAAAAGCAATTTGGGTTTTTCTACAATTAATGCATGAGTGCCATTCACTGGTGCATTATCTTTAAATTGAGCTAGTGTATATTCTTAGAATACTCCTATTTGAGCTTAATTATTTTCATTATGAATTATTTGTGGTTCCTAAGTCGATAACCGGAGAAAACGGGGTACATGAGAAATGGGTTTGGATACCTAACTGCTATTCATATTTACATTGAGGGAAGTTAATACTTCATACTATAGGATTCTTTATCATACTGGCATAACATTGATTATGAGTTCTGACAAAATAATGTTATTTTTTGCATTTAAGTGCCTACCTTACAGTCAGTGTAATTCAAATTATAAAGTAACTACTCTGCCTTTATCAGTAAATATTATCTCACCATTACTTACCAGACCGAAATATGTTGATTGAGCGAGTTCTTCGGCGGAAATTGACCACACCGACGTTTAAATCTGCAGTACTACCCACTGGATCCACACTCCATCGTGTCAACGAGAACTTCACACCTTTCGTGAAGGCTCAACCAGAGCTCAACGTGACTGCGTTAGCTCACAGCGTTCAACGCCGCGGTCTAACCGACGCCTTTAACAGCGGATTTTTTGAACGTCTTGTGAGTTTACTCTGGAAGTGGTTTAAAGGTAGATGGAAGAGCATTAGTCGCTATTAGTTCATCAACTAAAGTTTATACAATTTGGTTTGAAATCTATCTTATACTTTAATCATTAAAATATTATTTAACACTGATATTTCAGATTAAACAAAACCAGGAGGTCCGGGACTATGAAGAAGAGGTAGAGCGGTTAGAAACTCAGCGTCTGAACCTCCACACAGAATTCCAGGAAGCTAGCAGGATAGGCGACGAGGCGGTTAGTATTTGCACATTTACACATTTTCTCTCCTACAGTGACGCGAACCATAATTTTTTTTTTCAATTAGATCTGTTTGATACTTACCTGACTGTTACTACAAGAGGTTTGAGAGGAAGTGGATTTGTGGTTTCAACCAGTCCAGACGCGAATTAGCTCCTACTCATTATCATTTGCTTATAACTGGCCCATCTCGACTTGACAGAATTAAATTTCCCATGAGTTTGAGTTTTTTTAGTAAAAAATCCCCCTCCTCTCTACACCGGCACGACGATGTCGTTGACT